ATAAAAAAAAGATCGTTTACAGACCCCCGAAACGCCGGCTTCGTATGGATGAGAGGCTGGTTTGGTGAAAAATTTGTGCGTTTAGGCCAGGGTTTGACTTTGTGTGGACGGGGCCTAAAGAGCAGACAAGGGCGAAGCAAAACTCAGGATCCACAGGACAGAAACGGGTCACAATCAGGTAATCAGAACAACAAACAGAATGCTAGAGTTACTCACACCAAACAGCTTGAATAATCTGGCACTAGTAGCTGGAAAACACACAGAATATATGGGAGCTGAAAACAGGTGGATCAGATAAGCAGTAATGAGAAACTGGGCAGAGTTAAACAGGTGAGTGGAATGAGCAATCAGGCCAGCCACTAGTGCCAGGATCATCACACTAAAGGGATTAACAGGTATTGAATATTTGTGTGCTGGTCTGACTGGGTATGCTCATCTGACAGAACACCGGCTTTGCTTTGTATCGTCCTCAGGGACCTGCAGGACCTGGATGACTCCACCCAGCTCCCGCTGCTCTGCCACTTCTCTGAGACGGCAGAAGGCCTGACCACCATCAGAGCCTTCAGGTAAACCAGAACCGCGGCTCCCTCAGAGACACCACGCTGATGTTCTGTGCTATTCTGTGCAAAGTTGGACCCGGCAGAGGTTCTGCTTGTATTTCTGTCTCTCCTCTGGTTCCCATCGGTGCTGCGGTCCAACTTTAAACAGCTCTCACGCTTTGGGTCCCGGAGGATTTCTCCCTCCTTCCCACTCACACACAAAACGCTCAGAACAAACTCTGGGACCCACAAGAGTAAACATCGTCCAGAACCACCGTAGCAGAAAAAAAAACCTGCTCTGAAAATCAGCACAACCGATTTTCTGTTTGGTTCTAAAAGCAGTTTAGCGGTTCTGGTTCTGCAGTTTGGACTCACGGGTCTGGGTTTGTCTCTTCTCAGACACGAGGCCAAGTTTAAACAGCGCATGTTGGAGCTGACTGATACCAACAACACGGCCTACCTGTTTCTGTCTGCTGCCAACCGCTGGCTGGAGGTCCGAACGGTAAGGAACCGGTTCCCTGCAGCGGCACCGTTCGGAACGCTCATCCACCGCACCGCTGGTTACTTCTCTTCTCTTCTCCATCCTCCTGCAGGACTACCTGGGAGCGGTGATTGTCCTGACGGTGGCCGTGGCGTCCGTCTGGTCCGGTCAGACAGCTGCCCTGGTGGGACTGGGCCTGACCTACGCCCTCACTGTGAGCTCATCGTTCTGCTTTACATCTGGCTATAACAGAGCTTCAAATGAACCTCAGCTGAACCTCCACCAGGCTGCTGTTAAAATTTTAAAGCCCAAATTTCCCTGTTTTTAGACTTAGACAATATGCACGGTGTGTACACAAAGAAAAAGTCCGGTCAGCAAGGAATAATCAATGAATCATGAATTATCTGTACCTAAAGCTAATACATTGGAGGGATTTAATGAACTGGTTTGGCTTCTTTTGTTAGCCTGTAATGCCCCATACCGTCTAAAGGCTGATTTATATTCAGAAAGCGGGTGATCCAACCAGGTGCGTGTATGTTGCAGTTAACGCAGTTGTGCCCTTCCGCAGACACTCTGCTGCACCTCTCCAAAACTGTAGGTGACTGCAGACAGTGCCGCAAATAGGAGGCCTCTGATTGGTCAAATCTACACTACTGTTCAAAAGTTTGGGGTCACATTGAAACATCCTTATTTTTGAAGGAAAAGCACTGTACTTTTCAATGAAGATAACTTTAAACTAGTCTTAACTTTAAAGAAATACACTCTATACATTGCTAATGTGGTAAATGACTATTCTAGCTGCAAATGTCTGGTTTTTGGTGCAATATCTACATAGGTGTATAGAGGCCCATTTCCAGCAACTATCACTCCAGTGTTCTAATGGTACAATGTGTTTGCTCATTGGCTCAGAAGGCTAATTGATGATTAGAAAACCCTTGTGCATCATGTTCACACATCTGAAAAGAGTTTAGCTCGTTACAGAAGCTACAAAACTGACCTTCCTTTGAGCAGATTGAGTTTCTGGAGCATCACATTTGTGGGGTCAATTAAACGTTCAAAATGGCCAGAAAAAGAGAACTTTCATCTGAAACTCGACAGTCTATTCTTGTTCTTAGAAATGAAGGCTATTCCATGCGAGAAATTGCTAAGAAATTGAAGATTTCCTACAACAGTATGTACTACTCCCTTCAGAGGACAGCACAAACAGGCTCTAACCAGAGTAGAAAAAGAAGTGGGAGGCCGCGTTGCACAACTGAGCAAGAAGATAAGTACATTAGAGTCTCTAGTTTGAGAAACAGACGCCTCACAGGTCCCCAACTGGCATCTTCATTAAATAGTATCCGCAGTAGCCTGTTTGAGCTGTCCTCAAAATGACTGTATATGCTGCTTTGGCAGCTTTTCCTTCCACTTAACTTTGTGAAATGTGAACAGTCAGCTCCTGGTCAAGGATGTCCAAATGTCCAAAATGGAGTCTTCCTGTATGCCCTAATATGGTCATGTCAGAGTGGTAATTTTTCACTCAGTCTATAAATCTAGATTTACTTCAGAATTAATTTTCTGAAGATGTTCTGAAGTGTTGAGAAGGTTCCAGGAGCGGATAGAGCCAAAGCTGTAGGTCCAAAGTTTGTGTCTTTCTCTGCAGATCACAAACTACTTAAACTGGGTGGTGAGGAACTTAGCAGACTTGGAGGTCCAGATGGCGGCTGTGAAGAAGGTCAACAGCTTCCTCGGCACCGAGTCCGAGAACTACGAGGGATCTATAGGTAACTTTCCTGCCATTTGACCCTTTCATTCAGTCTATTAGTCAGTTTTGATAAGTGATCCAGAATGAAAATGTTCTCTGGCTGCAGATGCCTCCCAGGTCCCTGAAAACTGGCCTCATGACGGAGAGATAAAGATCCAGGACCTGTGCGTGCGCTACGACCCCATGCTCAAACCGGTGCTGAAGCACGTCAACGCGTTCATCAAACCGGGCCAGAAGGTAATTAACGCGGTGCTGGGAGCGGGTCTGGGACCCAGGAGAACCATGTTACATATAAGTGGCAGATTCCAGCATCCCGCTGCAAGAAGTGCTTCACACACCACTGACAAACGGCCTCTTAGCAAGGCAGTGAGAAACCAGAGATCAGGGGTTCTTCAGGGGTTCTGGAGAACAGTCCCTGCTCCCAGCTTTGTCTGATTAAAGGTTTTCGACGAGCTGCAGCTGAAAACAAACCTGCTCAGCAGCTACTAAAGCTGACAGCTTCTAAAACTAGTCTAAGGTCTAAACTTATAGGGAATATTTTCAGAAATATGGAACAATAATAACACATTATTCCTTTCAGCATCCGTCCATCGAGCTACAGAACCATCCGACTGTCTTCTGTTCTGCATCATTAAAGTCGTAGGATAGTCATATTTAAATGTCATATCATCCTGGCTTAAACATGTATATAAATGCACTCTGTATAAGACTATATATCCGAAAATTTCGAAAAATTTCTATTTAAAAAAAAAATCCTATCTTAAAATCTGTGGGGGTTACACGTCAGCCTGAACACCTAAATTCGGCCAATCATATATCAGCGGTCATCTGTCAATCAAATTTGTTTTGGTCATAGCATCTTGATTCATATGTTGCAACTAATATACACAACAGTCTAAATAAGAATCTTTGCAGAATTCTGGTGACCGTCACAGG